ACACACATACACACATACACACACATACACACATACACACATACACACACATACACACATACACACACACATCTTAAGGAATATTTCTTATTTCATAGTCAGGAAAATATCAGTTCTGAACCAGTGAGTGCTGTGATGTCACATGTTGGACTGAGTAATCATAGTGATTCATAACAGTAACAGCAGACCCGGGCAGAACAATTACACTCTAGGGTCTTAAGTAGGTTCTGTGGACATGAAGTACAATAATAAGTATATAATAATATAGATAATATAATGTATTATGATATATAGTATATATAATATATAGCATGCCAATAAGCATAGTAAGTCTATGAAACTGTCAGTTTGATAAAATTCAAAGAAGGCTTTTGATATCATGCAAGTATTAATTGGATTTGTATGCATGTCGTCTTTTTGTTTTTTCCTGATTTTTATTTCTTTCAGATCTGCTTTTCGAGGAGACTGTTTCAAGGATCTGGGTTCCTCCTGGTGTTCCAGTTTCCCAAAGAACATGTTTATTGAGGCTGTGAGAAGAACATCCTTTCCCTTGATTTCCGATGTAGAAATACGGCTAAAGCAGGGTTAAGTGTCATTACCCTTGTGGCTACTTTACAGAAAAAAAATCACATTCTACTACTGGGGAAGAGGGTTTGTTTTGTTCTTTTAAAAATGCATAGTTGTGCATTTTATTAAAGCAAAAGTTAAAGAACTTTCTCTGTCTCAGCAGTCAGAGGTAGGCGCGATCTTGTTCCGTTACCCCAAGTGCCCTGTTGGAAGCTGGGCACTGTGATTGTACTCATGGCCTCCCTATGCTTCTGAGAAGCAAGACATGTGCCTAACATCACCCAGTCCTCTCATCTTGGTCAGGGCCAGGGCAATGCCAGCATCCCGGATAGGGTTGCAACAGCTTCTCATTCAGCATGGCCTTGACTTCCCACTTTAGATAATTCAGGACAGTGTGTTCTCTGCATTGGGAAGAAGTGGGGCACGAACTTCATCAGATATGTGTGCTTCTCACACTTGCTTAAAACGTTTGTTTCCTACGTGAAGGTCATGTGTTTTAGACTGAATGATAGTGTTCAATGTTTGTCCCAGGACATCTCAGCCTCATGCCTGGCACGCAGGGGTCAACATATCAGCTTCTCTGCTCATTCATTCTGGGACTATCAAACCCTTAATCTCTTGGAGTTTTGGTTTTTAATCTGGAGAGTAAGATAGAGCGCTGTATAAAGTATTTCATAAACATAGTGTTTTCCTATTGAGCTTTTCTCCAGGCTCCTTCTATTCCTATATGGCTAACCTCTAACTCCTCCACAAAGCGTTATGAGATAGGAACTCATCTCATTTCATAGAGAAACTGGCTGAGGGACCCATATGACTGTCTCCAGTGATAGAGACCGTACAGGGAGTAGGCCATCTGATCTTATCCTCAAAGTGTGATCCACATGCTAGCACCATTAATATCTGGAACTTGTTCAAAATGCAAATTCTCATCATACTCTAGACTAACTAAATCCAAATGTTTGGATGTGGGGTCTAGGGATATGTGCCTCAACCAGCTCTTTGAGTGATTCTTAAAAGTATTAAGGGCCAGCATTCTGTGTAACGCTGGATGTTTGGGACTTGCACTGAAGACCAGGCTGGTCTCAAACTCACAAAGATCCATCTGCCTCTACTTCCCAAGTGCTGGGATTAGAGCACTGTCTCTGTCTCAGCAGTCAGAGGCAGGCGCTATCTTGCTGCTTTTCTGGTACTGCAAGTGTCACGTTGGAAGCCGGACACTGATTGTGCTCATGGCTTCCACATGCTTCTGAGAATCAGGACATATGTCTAATGTCACCCAGCCCTCTCATCTTGGCCAGGGGCAGGGCAATGCCAACATCCCAGCTAGGGTGATAACAGGGTCCTCATTCAGCATGGCCTTCACTTCCAGGCTCTGGAAAGTTGTCAACAGTTTCTAGTCAGTTCTGTGGTTGTTTCCTTGCACCATTACTGATCTGCTCATACCCATACCTCATCCAGCTGTCCTTGACCCCAGCAATGGCCTTGAAGGTAACCAAGTGCTTAGGACAAACTCATCCTTCTGTGACTGTCAGGGTCAGTCACTGCTTCCCCCCACCCATCGGACAGGATCCTGTAAATCTTCTCAACTAGAAGATTTTCTGTGTCTACAATTCAGACACTACTCAAGCCACTGAAAATGCTTTTGAAAATGAGAAGATTTACTGGCGAAAGGCACACGTTTCCCTTCCTTCCCACTCAAGGGACTTTGATAGGCTTTATCTGATCCAGGAGATTTTCAAGGCTTTTAGTTATGTGAATTAACCAGCAAGTGCTGCATACTTCTCTCTTTCTCTTGAAAAAAAAAAAGGCAGTGTTTATGACCACCAGTGATAACAGATGTTGTAAATAGAAAAATTTGGGGCGTTGCCAGATTGTTATATAAACCTTCAGGGGCTTTTAAAAATTCTTCTAGTAAAGAATGGACCTTTTCTTCCCATGGCCTTCACTCAATCCCAGCACCCTCCAGACACCGTATCAAATGAGACTGAATTCCTTCCACTTGGTTGCAAATAGAGAATGGCGATGTTACATTTATAGAGTGAGAAGAGACAGAAAATCTCAACAGGAGAGAGAGAAGTATGCTGACTCTCACCATTAAATCAAGACTGACTACTAAAATTCAGAGAGTACCAGAGAAAAACAAAGATTATTTGCACTCCCAGCATTCAGCACTAACCAGGGACTTATAGTGTACATAGAAATTCGTGTTTATAGCTAATTATACTTTGGACCAATATTTTACCAACAACTAAAACCTACTTTGTACCCCCCTTTTCACAGTGCAATTATCTTGGTTCTTCAAGTCTGTGTGTGTTCCTGCGGACACTCAGGAGCTTCTGTTGCTGTTGGCGCCATGTGCCAGATGTCCTGTGTCACACTGAGATGCCATCTGTGCAGAGATGGGAAATCATCATCAGATATGAAAAGCCACATGGGTTGTCACTCCTAAATCAAATAAAGTGATGGGGTAAAGTTCTGATGTCCCTCATTCTGCCAGCCATAGCTTGTCTTTATTTTTCTCTCTTTCTCTTTCGAAGTATTAGATAGTTCCATTTTGAAAAAGTTTAACTATTAGGTACACTCAGTCATTTTTCTTACCAAATTAGATATTCCAAAATAACATGTGGATTATTTGCTTAGTCTTCGTTTCTCTCAGGGAAATTCTGTTCAAGGAAGAATAACAACAACAACAACAACAACAAAAAACCATTTTAAGGGAAATTCCAAGGATCAAATTCAGGCCATTGAGCCATGACTTAACTCTTTAGTTGTTAAGAATGATTAAAGATAAAGAGTTTGCTCTAAGTTTGAAAGGAACTTGGGCTAGGCTGTATTTATACTCAAATAAGTCTGGGAAGAAAGACTCTTGAGTGTAATGAAACCACCGGTCATGAGCTTGTTATCAGCTGAGTGCAGTTGGCTGCATTCTTACCCAGCTGATTTCAGTGGGTGGACACTTTCGTTTGTGGTAGGCCTGTCTGTTTTTTTTTTTCAAACAAATTGATTTTGTAAACACAGTAATTTTTTATCAAAAGGTGACAGATCTAAATATTTGCCATTTCAGGGTAAGAATACCTATCTGAATAGGGTGCTAGGCAAAGGCGACTTCTGTGTTTATACGAGCTAGAGAACAGACTTTGAAGGCAGGGGAAAGTCACTCTTCTTGCTTGGAACTTTCCTCAAATGATTAAATCAAACTTCTTCGCTATCTTCCCTGGACAGATATATAGCATACACTTGCTCCTAGACACATACATAGCACACACATGGTCCTGGGCAGATACATAGCACACACATG